TTTAGTCCTGGTGTACACATGGTTTAGATCTGTTTTAGTCCTGGTTTAGTCCTTTTTTAGTCCTGGTTCAGTTCTCGTTTAGTCCTGCTTTAGACCTGCCTTAGACCTGCTTTAGTCCTATGACATATCATGTAAAGAGGCAGAAAACAATAAATGTTGCCTAAATAAACCCAGTTTAACATCCACCAGAGCCAAACCTAAGTTTTTTTTTTAATAATTCAAGATTTACAGTGAATTTTTACATCACTAAATATATCGGCGATTATATCGGCTATTGGCAGCTCCAACTAACATTATATCGGTATCATATCGGCCACAACAAAATCCATATCGGTTGGGCTCTAATTGAAACTACATACTAATTTTAATGTCCTATATTACGCAAAATTGCCTCTTGTGAGCTTTAAGCCATGTTATAATGCTGGTACCTTTTCGAGTTGTGTTTTGTTTCATTCACACGTTTGTGTAATTCTTATATATCCTTACAGTTTTTAAGATAACAGCTACCTTTTACCTTAGTGTAACATAGGCCCTTATTGATACTTAAAAATATAAAGAAATTAAAAAAAACATAACTGAAAGAAAATGGACCTTTCCTGAACAATTTCATCTTAAGTTTTATCTTAAAGGTACACTATGTAACTTTTTGGTTCGGGGTCCATCAACTTCTTGTTTCTATGGTTATGTCATAGCTCTGCCTGGAATGTTCCACAGTGTGACATTAAACAGCTCTACTTTACATTTAGTCAATTACAGGGGTTTTATAGCTCAAAAGTACCTAGAAAAAAGGCATTCTGTCTGTGAGCGGGGTCGCCTCTCCACAGATCTGACCTGTAACTTTGTTTGGTTCAGGCTCCATGAGGATAGAGGTTTAATGCCATACTGTGAAAGATTCCAGACAAAACAGTAACATCTACTTGGAGAAAAGAATTTGCCAGACTCTCTACCAGAAAAGTTACACAATGCACATATCCCCTATTGAGAAAAAGATTCAGCTTTTACATAATCAAAAGTATATTCGTACTTTTATGTCGTTCGGCATGCTATAGTTATAATATTAATTAAGGTTAATCCTTCTGAAGGTTGCATAACTGAACAGAATAAAAACAGACATCGTAGTAACTTATAAGCCTCTGAATAATTAAAAAGTTGTGAATGCTGGGAAAGATATATTAATTGGGCTCAGTATTTATCATGTGTACATTTTCTTTGCAATAGAAAATGTCTTTGCAATAGGGCAATATTTCCCGTGTTTATGTAATAAGGTAAGATTTGAGCTGTATAGAGTAGAATATATCACTTCGATGGCTAATTCATGGCTAGTTCATTCTGCTTTTTATTTGTTGCAGCTGTGTAACTTTTCGTTTGGGGGTCCGTCACCTTCCTGTTTCCATGGAAATATCATTGGTCTGCTTTGAATATTCTACATTTATTCAATTACAGGTGGTTTTGTTGCTTAAAAATACTTTGAACAATAAGCATTCTGACTGTGAGTGGGGTCGCCTCTCCACAGCTGTGACTTGTACCTGGTCTGGTTTGGTCTCCATGGAGATAGAAAGGTTTCATGCCATACTATGAAATATTCCAGACAAAGCACTAACATCTCCATGGAGAAAACCATCTGATGGACCCTCCACCAGAAAAGTTACACAGTGCATCTTCAATGATACTGTCTATTTAAAAATATGTTTACTGGGATTATCCTGGTTTCTAAAGTACTTTCAAGATTATAATGTATTGCAGTATCTTGTAGCAGGATCTTGTGCATCAAAATTTGTTATCATGACAGGCTCATGAGATCATGATGTGCATATTTTAATTTTGCTCATTATAGCCTGAAAACTGCAGGCTTTGTGTTTGTGGTTTCGCCTCCTTTTTTAAAATCTGTAATTCTTTGGGATTTTTTTCAGTGCTGTAGTTTTCAAATTTGTCATTCTGACTAGCACCACATTAAATTCCCTGGAGTGTCCTGGTTTCCCCCGTCCTCCTGGCATACCAGTCCGGAGCGGGGTCTCTGCAGGGTTGCCCAACTTCAGCAGATGCAAGAGAGCCTGAAAAAGCAATATATTTCTGAAAATAGAGCTCCTTCAGTGATCCAGATCCACCACATCCCCAACTCTATCAAAGATATTAAAGGTCCTATATTATGTAAAATTTACTCTTGTAAGATGTAGATGTTATGTCCTGAAAAACATTCCTGCAGTTGTGTTTTGTTTCATTCACATGTTTGAGTAAACAGAATGCCTGTTTTTCTAGATATTTTGAGCTATAAAAGCACCTGTAATTGAATAAAATGTAAGGTAGAGTTGTTTAAAAAACAGAAAGTTACATAATACACTTTTAATAAACCTGTCTTTGTTACTCCATGTTTCAACTGGACACTCTTCAGTTGTTTTCAAAAGTTCTTTTATGAAATTGATTGAGTAAAGCTGTAATGATGTTTTGGTCCGTGTAGCTATTTAGAAGGGAGGCCATGTTGTAAAATAAACCTTGCAGGGAAAGATTAATATTATGGGACACTTACTGGTGAAAATGCACAGCAAAATTATGGGGCTCTGAGGTGAAAAACTTTAACTTGTCTAAATGTGTTGGACAGAAGCATATGTTAGGTGTACAAAAAAGCCATTACAGTGGGGAGATAGATCAGTTTGAGCTGATTTGGCACAAAATCTTTAGTTTTAGTGAGTGAGCATAACAACAAAAACAAGCGTGTGTAAAAAGCTTTGTAAAAGTCTTAAATATAAGGGAGACATAATGCAACTTTTCGGAGCTTTTAAAGGGCCCATATTAAGCTGTTTTCTGATCTATTTTATAATGTTGTTTCCTTATCACAAACTTACCTGGAGTTGTTTTGTTTCATTTAAACATGTTTAACACACAAATCATGCATATTTAGGCTTCCTTCTCTTAAACTGAAACACTGTTCCACCTGGTGACGTCAGGTGGTAATACATGAAATGCTCTACAGTGTTTTCAAACTCTATTCATCTTCACTAGAATCATTTGGATCATATCAGCCCTGGAATTAGCCCTGGTAAGAGGAGCTGCTAACTTGAGAACCACCACTACATGACATCACAAGGTGCAACAGTGTTTTAGTATTTTCAGAGTATTTTGAGATATGATCAGACTAATAATAAATAATTACTCAAACATGTCAGAATGAAACCAAACACAACTCCAGGTGTTTCTGAGGAGGTAACAACATTATAACATAACTTAAAGGAGCACTGAGTAACTTTTCTGGTGAAGGACCAGTCAAATACTTTTTGCCATAGACATGCTATTGCTTTGTCTGGAATGTTTCACTGTGTGGCATTAAACCTTTCTGTCTTCATGGAGACCAAGCAAGACCATATTACCAGTCAGATTTGTGGAGAGGCAACCCCACTCACAGTCAGAATGCCTGTTTGGTATTTTTTCCTAGGTATTTTTGGGTATTTTTGGACCCCACCCAAAAAGTTACATTGTGCATCTTTAAAGCTTGCACGAGTCAATTTTGTGTGCTAAAAGAGGATTGAGCCTTTAATTTTCTGTAATGATCTTGCCCATAGTCGAGGAGCTGGACTGAGGTTTCCCTGATCTGATATGGAAGGTTTTCTTTGCTTTCTCCATCTGTTTGTCAAATTTCCAACAAAATTGTCGATCTGAACGCACTGTAAACAAGAGAGAAATCCAGGCTACAGCTTAACTTGCAGCCATGTTTACCATACATTGAGCTGGGACATTGATCCAAAACACACACACACAATCCACACACACACACGCTTTTATTTCAGTCCTCAAAGTGCCCCACTCCAGAGACATGGATAGATGGATGCTGTTGTGAAAAATGAGAATGATTTTTCAGAGCAGCTATTGACCGCATCACAAGGTTAGCGTAATTAATGCTACAAAGACATTTTTAGATATATTAGAGAAAACATTTAAGCGTTCAGGCATAGGTAAATGAAGTGATTGTTTCCTCTGGCTGAATAGACACCAGGACATTACAAGGACACTGGTTTTGTTATGTGTCAGGATACTCAATGAACATTTTAACTCCACACTGAGTACTGAAACCCAGGAAATACTTGTTACGTGTTAAGGATTACATTTACTATAGACTTATCTTGTCAAAATTATCAAAATTCACATACTATTCAACACTAAAACTAGTATAGAGTACATACTAATTTAAAGGTCCTATATTGACTCTTGTGAGCTTTAAGCCATGTTAAAATGATTCTCAAAAACATGTCTGGATTTTTTTTTCTTTTTTGTTTCATTCACATGTGTCTGTCTACATCTCCAAAGCTCAAAATGTGGTGTCATGAAGCGGTTGTTTTCAAACTAACCGCTGCTATTTACCGTTTGTTCTATAGCAAACGGGTCTTTAAAACATAATTCATCGTTCCTTTCTCTTTGCCACAATACTAAATTTTCAAACTCCATTTCGATACTAAGACTTGAGACTCAAGACTGATTCCGATACCACAATGATAATTAATGGCATTTAATTTAACTATCACCATGGAGACAAGCCGAAAACGTCACCAGGTCAAGTTATAGGTCAAATCTGTGGAGAAGTGGGGCTGTTCACAAAAATAATACATGTTTTTGTGGTAGTTCTGAGAAATAAAAACACAAATGTAATTGAATAAATACAAGATATATTTATATTTATATGACTGCCATACTGTGGAACATTCCAGAACGAGCAATAACATCACCAACAAGCAGACAATATAAGACAATATAGTATAATTAAGACAATATAATGTAATTTTCAACATGAATTTCTTTTTTATTCCCATGTGGCCTTATATGTGTGTAATCCTCAGTGGTCCAGGCAAGATGCATAGTGGCCCATGGGTGTATAATAGTCAATGTGCTCTTGTTCTGATACACCTCAACATATTCTAAAACTATTCCCTGTCTATTGCCCTGTCAGTGTGACTTTTTCTATCAATACCTGCTCAAATGAGTATCAAGTTTTGATTCTAGTTTTAGTATTGATTAGTATCTGCTTTTCTATACTTTTGACAACCCTACATGAACCCAAACATAAAATCAACACTATTTTGAATCTACTCGCAACATAAAATACATTAATAAACCTAGAGGTGTGTCTCTCTTTTGTTTACTCCATAGGCTTGCATTTATTATTGTTAGGAGACATATTATTTGGACTAATGCATATATAAAAAATCAATTTCTTTTTTATTTATTTATTTATTGGTTTTTTTTGCAGCTTCTACCGACGGAACCCCCCAAAAAGCCTGACCCGGTGACGTCAGAGACAGTGGTGTTCTGGGGGCTTCGCTTATGGCAGGTCATCGGTATCTTCTCCATGTTTGTATTGGCAGTGGGTGAGTATAACTGTTATTTTCAAAGCATGTCTGGAGAAATAACTTCGGGCATTACTATGTGATTATGTTGCCTAAGTATAGATTATGAAGTGGGCTCTTTCATATTGAATTTAAATCTGCTTATATGAGGATGTGCGGTGGGGGAATTTAAAAAGAGTGAAAGTAAACAAATGTTATGTTATTCTGAAAGTTTTCTTAGTTAATTAAATAGTTGCCTACTTTTAAAGGGGCCATATTACACTATTTTTGAGTTATATTTGTGTTATAATGTTTCCTCATCACAAAAACATGCCTCTAATTGTGTTTTGTTTCATTCACACATGTTAGACACACCAATCAAAATTTAGACCGGGTTTTTTGGTCAAACAGAAAACATTCTGTTCCACCTTGTGATGTCATGTGGTAATACTCCACTGTGTTTGTAAACTCCACACACCTTCACTAGAATCATTTGGATCATTTCAGTCCTGGAATTGCCCATCTTTATTAAACAAAAGGTAGAAGGGGCTGTTAAGGTGGAATGACAAATTTGGAGCTTTGGAGATGTGGACAGACTAATAAACCAGGATTACTCAAACGTGTGAATGAAACCAAACACAACTTCAAGCCTGTTTTGAGAAGCTACAAACATATTATGACCAGTGTTGGGAGTAATGTATTATAAAAGTAATGTATTACAGTAATGCGTTGATTTTTTCTGTAACGCAGTAATGTAAGGCATTACAGGGGGAAAAATTGTAATATTTTACTCGGTACAAATGTGAGTAACGCGCGTTACAATGCTTTTTTAACCTGGATTGAAGTGGTGGGTTTTTCTTCATAGAAATTCACTAAAATCACCTCGATATCAGCAGCGGTGAAACGCCGGAGACGCGGCCGGATAGACCTTCAGTTAACCGCGGGTGAAAGGACCGACCCAGAACTCTACGCTGTTTAGACCTGGTTTAGACCTGGGTCACTTCTGGTTTAGACCTGGTTTAGACCTGGGTCACTTCTGGTTTAGACCTGACTTACAGTCGTCCCTTGCTCTAACGCGATTCACTTTTCGCGGTCTCGCTGTTTCGCTGATTTTTAGAATTTTTTTTTTGTGCAGTTTTGCATGCCTTTTGTTTTTAGTGTATGAACACGTATTGCGTTCCTCCCGCTGTGTCCTGATCGGCTAAGGGATTCCTGTCTCCTGTACAGTACAGTACAGAATATGTTCAGCTGCCAAATTTAAATACATGTTCAATCTGTATCAGTGTGATTCTGAAGTGCTGTACGGTTGCAAGTTTTCTCTCCGACAAAATCCACAACGTTGACGAAATGTTCTGCACCGACAAAGTCTCCTGCGCTCACACCCAAAAGGCAGAGGAAGATGCAAACCATCACACAAAAAGTTGGACTTCTGGACACGTTGAAGGAAGGTAGAAGTTACGCGCTGTAGCAGAGTCTTGCACTGGGTCTTGTACCCGCAAATAGTTGCTGAAATCAGGGCCGCGAGCCCGAGCAGCAGGGTGTCCATAAAGAGCGATTGGGCGACAGCCGCTCTTACCTCCGTGAGGTGCGGAGGTAAGAGGTCTCCTTCGAGCCCATCCTGACAGTGAGTCCTGTTTTAGTCCTAGTTCAGTTCTGGTTTAGTCCTCCTCTTCAGTCCTGGAATCAGTCTGAGGTTAGTCCTGTTATAGTCCTGGTTTAGTCCTGGTTCAGCTCTGGTTTAGTCCTGGTTTAGACCTTGTTTAGTCCTGGTTCAGTCCATATACGGCTCAAAAGTTCAGCTTTTTCGCAGTTATTTTGGTGAGAGTAACTTAAAGTAATGCAATAATAATGTAATGCCTTACATTTTAAATGCAGTAATATTGTAATGTAACGAATTACTTTGAAATGACAGTAATAAGTAATAAATAACGCATTACAGTTCTAAAGTAACTTACCCAACAGTGATTATGACTTAAAGCTGACGAGAGACAATAATGTATAAAATAAGACCTTTCAAGTCTTATCTTCATGCTTTGCCATGAATGTTTCACAGTATGGCATTAAGTTGACCTATTGTGCATTCTTTTAATTACACATGACTAAAAGCTCCCTTTAGAGACATGCATTGTTACTGTGAACATAGACATAACCTTTAACTTGGCCTGGTAGTGTCACCTGCTTGTATCCTTGGAGATGGATAAGTTTAATGCCATTCTGTGAATGTTCAATAACATCTCAAGGAGACAAGCAGGTAGCAGACCATCCACCAGAAGAATAAAATAGTGCAGACCTAAATTATTTGACTTTAAAGAAATACTATATTCTGATACCGGTTTGACCTCTCTTACTAAAAGAGACATGAAGAGGTAGATCCAAGCTTCATTTTGACACTGTATTATTTGAGCTTCTATTTAGCATGCTTTGATGGACAGATAATTATAACTGTTCTATCAACTCAGTGACAACTTTGTGTATTCTGCTAACAACATGTGCACACTGGGTTTCTTCTTTTGTTGAGAAGAAGTTGTTTTCCTTTTGTATTGTGTATGTATTTATTCCCTATACACAAACTACAGGAATGGGCTTCAGATTTGACTCTAAACAGAGCTATCTCCCTTGATTTTTCAGTAGTTTGAGAAGCTTTCAAAACAGGTCAAATGTTGGCTGTGATCTTCTGAGTGGTCACCTGATGGCCTTTTTCACTCTGAAGTTCTTGTGTGTATAAATGGGCTGAAAAATACTCCACTCAAATCATTACTATCAAGAAAGTGTAGTTTTCTCCAAATGCTTTTCTGAGGTCGTGAGGTCACCTGTGTTTTAGCTACATACACCTGCAACAAGTGGTCCACGTGAGGAACTTTCTGCTGTCGAAGAGGACCATAAATAGGAAATGTTAAGTCAGAAGGATTTACTGAGTCTCATATACACTGCCAGTCTCAAGTTTGGACACAACATTTCCTTTAATTTTTTATTTTTATTTTTCCAAATTTAACCTGTAATTTGGCTTTCAAGTCTCCATGGAGATTCTTAAGTTTATGCTTATACTGTGGACAGTGTTGGGAAGGTTACTTCTAAAATGTATTCGCCTACAGATTACAGATTACATACCTCAAAATGTAGTTTGTAACAGAATCCATTAAATTACTTAAAGTGAGTAACGTAATCTGAATACTTTGGGTTACTTGATTTGCTGTAGAGAAGCAAAGACTAGGATATCGTAACATAAGATGTTTTGTCTGATAAAAGACAATAAAAAGTCCAGACTTTACTGAACCGTTTTAAAAATATTATTGATAGAAAAGGAGGAGACATGTCCATGCAGCTTTAGTCCTGTTAAATCCTGTTTTAGTCCTGGTTTTAGACCTGTTTTAGACCTGGTTTAGACCTGGTTTAGATCTAATTTAGATCTGGTTTTAGACCTGATTTAGTCCTGGTTTAGACCTGGTTTAGATCTAGTTTAGACCTGGTTTAGTTTCCGGCAATGAGTCTAATTACTGAAAAAAAAAAGAAAAAAAAAAAGGGATATAGCCCAAAATGTGAAAACAGGAAAACAGGAAAATACCACCGTGTAATCCATTTATTTCAACAAAGTAACTGGAATCCAATTACCACTCATTGAAACAGTAACTGTAACCAAATACAGTTACTCAAAATTTGTACTCTGATTAAGTAACTCTGGTACATGTAATCTGTTACTCCCCAACACTGCCTGTGGAACAGTCTACACACATCTCCATGGAGACAAGCAGATGTTGGACCCTCCACCGGACAAGTTACACAGTACTAGAGCCCGACCGATATGGATTTTGTTGTGGCAGATATGAAACCGATATAATGGGAGTTGGAGCTGCCGATAGCCGATATAATCACCGATATATTTAGTGATGTAAAAATTCACTGTAAATCTTGAATTGATTAAAAAACTTAGGTTTGGCTCTAGTGGATTCTAAATTGGGTTTATTTAGGCAACATTTATTGTTATTTTGACTCTTTACATCATATTTACATACAGTAGATTGGCCTAATGGCATTTTTGCATCACATTCTAGCTGCTAGTGATGGGTATTCCAGTTTTTTTTTTTTTTTTTGGAGAACCGGCTCTTTTGGCTCGGCTCACTAAAGCAGCTGGCTCTTTCAGCTTCCAAGCGACTCTTGAGATTGTTTTGTTGCAAGCAGGACTAAACCAGAACTGAACCAGGACTGAAAAAGGACTAAACCAGGACTAAAACAGATTTAAACTAGAGCCCGACCGATATATCGGCTGGCCGATATTATCAGCCAATATGGGCACCTGGAGACATATCGGCTATCGGCCGATATGCTTGCTGATATGGGCCGATATTTCACGTGGGCATGTTATACCTCGTTATAAAGTTTGGACTCTCATTTAATCCAATTTACAGACAGATAAATGTCCTAATATGTGGCTCCGCATCAGTATTTATCTGCGGAGTCATTTGTCTGTGTCCGTACTGTACCTGAACACACCACCTGACGGACGTCACTTCACTCGTGTGTGTTTGTTTACACCCGCAGCCGTGCGCAACATTGAGATTATTTTCTTTTTCGGACAATCGGTTTGAGTCTGGATTAAAAGGACATTTATTAGTGCAGACTTGTGATGTGAGGAGGAGCCTGTGAGAGCGGTGAGTGTTGGAAATACATCGACTTTGAAGCTAATTTAGGTTTTGTTAGCGGTTAGCTGCTGTAGCTCCCGCACATAAACAGACTGTTTTCTATTGGTCTATTGTAAAGTGACTATATTGGCCGTATATTTGTTACTGGACCTGCATTGATATGTAAATGAGCTGTGAATAGACATGTGAATGATCCACATTTATGCATATAATTAACTACCGCGGTGTGCAGCATTTACGGCTAAAGGCTAATAGCGATAGTTTACTAGCTAGGAGTTATGGGTCGGTCGCGATCGAAGCGGCTCTTAGAGCCGGCTCTTTGAAGCGAACAACGGGAGCCTGCTTCTTATTGGGAGCCGTGTTTTCTCTTTTTCTCACTTTTTCTCTTCATGCCGCATGTAGACC